GGCTCAGCATGTTGACCTGGTTCTCCTTCTTGAATCCCATTGCTGGCTTCCAGGCCCGTTTTTCCCCACCTACATCATGATTAGCTGTTGGTATTTCTTGGGGTCTTCCATTAAGACTTCTTTTCTTCCTCTGTGCCTTTTCCATTCCTGCCCCTGTCTCTCCCCTTCAACCAGAGTGATCTTGCAGAAACATACACCTGTCAGGTCCTCAGGAAGGAGACGCCTGCGCAGGCGCCCGCAGCTGAAGGCCCTCTGAGGTGTGTCCGTGCTCCATCCTCACTGGGCTCCTCTCTGCTCCCTCTTCAGGTCCCCACCTTTAAAATCTTCAGCTGATTCCTTAGTCAAGACTATGCTTCCTCCCAAGAGATTGGCCACTTTATGTTCCGAACCGGGGCTGCAGTTCCTTGCCCAGGACTGCTGACCCTGCCACCTCCCCACAGGTTTGTCTCAGGAAAGACCCGAACGTCTGTTCCTGGGCTTGGTCATCTGCTGGCCCAGATCTCCAGGGCGCTCGCAGCACACATGTGGAGCTTGCACGCTGGCCTTCTCCCCGCTGCGCATGAGGGCTGTCTCGGGCTCACCCACAGAGCCCCAGCTGCCAGCATTCAAAGATGGCGTTTGTTCATGAGTGAATGGATTAGCTGAATAAACGAACAAATGAGAACGAACTACATCACTCTCTGTATTCATAAACATAGATGCATGAACAAGTGAGAACTAGATAGCTTTGTTTGTAAAGCTGTTAGCATAGTTCTTGATATGCTCAATAAATGGTAGCTTTATTTATTTTTAATTGACTTTTCAGCTTAGGCGTCATGAAAAGAAAAAGAAACAACCAGCACCAGGCTGGGTAATGGAAACAAGGTCCATTTCATCCAAACTCTGGCACTTGGCGTGGGCCATGAAATAGCAGCCTCTTCCCCTCTGTCAACCTCTTAATAACTTGTGTTTATTGACTCTTTTCCCTCTGCCCCTCCTCATGTTAAAATCACTTCTCACATAGCGTCTTGCTCACCTGGTGTCCCCCCCGCCCCAACCTGTTCCTCTCCTTCTCCCCTCTGAGTCCTGGGCTGCTTCATGGGGGGAATGCCTCTTCCCTCTGTCACACCCCAGTATCCAGCACCTGGGGCCAGTGTTTGTTGAATGAATGAGTTGAGGAATGTTCTAAAAGCAGACTCTGGTGTTGTCAGAAGAGTTAGTGGATCCACCGTAACACCCTCCATTCTCTATCTGGTAAAAGTAGAAAAATGGCCAATCTGCAAGTCCAAAACTGATCAAAATCACATGGAAAATGAGGGAACTTTTGTATCCAACGTGTTGGATATTTAAATGAACAAACACCAAACAGCATTTGATGTCATCCTAGTGTAGGGTGAACCTTAGGGCTGACAGCTGTTGAGGAGTAAGGAGAGGCCATCTTTAAGGGCGTCAGAGATAGGCACGGTGAGCACTAAGGCACACTTTGACCTCGGGGAGTAGGGTTTGGGTCTGCAAACCTGGCAGAAGCCATTCTCGCCACATGTCACTGCTGGTGATAGGTTAACATTCCAGGTCATCAGGCAGTGCGTCCTTCTGCTGCATACACAGAGCTGTTATATAGAGAGATGGACAAACTCCCATTCTCTTGCAGACAGATGTATACACCTGTGTTAACTCTGAAGGCATGATCTGGGACCCTCCCGTGCATTTGGTGCCATCAAAAGAATGTAGACTTTGATTTGGATCCCAGCCCAAACCCTGTAATCCTTGGAATGTCCCTTCTTCTGAGCCTCAGTTTCCCTGTCCAGAAAGTCCAGATAATGCTTGCGGCATTTTCTTTGCTTAGTAGAGCAAGTATCCAGTAAATGTTTTCTTTCTTGCAACTATTGGGTTAATAGGAATGTTTGTAATGTCCTGACAATTGAGAACTTGATGTTGACTGTGCGTAGCCACTGCAGAAAGCGCGGGCTAGGAGTGTGTGGCAGCTGCAGCAGTGTGCTAATGCCGTGGTCAGTGGATTTCAGAGGCCCAGCAACCAGGCCTCACACACGTCCTTAGCATCCTGAGAAAAGTTTGAGAAGCCCAGCATTTTAGCTGTAGTGCTCATTTAATTTACCTGCACCAGCCACTCTGGGCCACCTCTGATCCCTGTGGGCATGAAAGTAGACTCACTTTTATCTGGTCTTATGGCAGCTTCAACTTAGACAAGTCTGTACTGGAAAGGGTCAACAACAGAAAACCTAGACATTTTGTTTATATAAAATGTAATGAACAACTGTGAAACCACTACTCAACCAAAGAACTAAGCCACTGCTAGTAAATGCAGTCTACCTGTTCCTCTCTTAGTCCATCCTCCTGACTCCCTGCTGAGAACAGCCACTCCTGGAAGTTGTGCAGATGTGTTCCTTTTAATTTTCTCTTTCCTTCCTCTCTCTCTTCCTCCACCATGCCCCTCCCCACCCCTGAATATATATTTTTTTGTTTGTTGGTTTGGATTTGTTTTGGAACCTAGGGAAAGACAATCAGTTACACTCCAGGGACTTGCATTTCTCAAATGCTGTTGCTTTACTAAGACATCCATTCTGGACAGCTGTCCTGGTCCACTGAGAGAACACTCCAGTTGTCCATTCACCTGCTGGTGGAGATTGGATTACTTCTTTCTCTTTCCTTACTCAACCCTCTTCTATTTCAATTTTTAATTTTTTGTTTGGCTCTTAATAGTGCTTTTGGAAAAATTCATTGTATTTGTTTCTTAATCCACATGCATTAATGAGTAATCTACATTAGGAGTGGGATTCTGGGTCAGAAGATGTGTGATCAGAATTGAGGATGCTGAGTCATTTTGCAAGTAGTTGCACCAAGGGAGAATCCCATTGTCCTGAATCTTCCCAGTCATTAGTATTATCAGTCTTTCTAATTTTTTTTTAAAGATCTGTTTATTTATGCATACAAGAGCTGGGGTATAGGCCAGAGGTACGGAGGTAAGGAGGTGAGAGGATTCATCAGAGACATTAGTGGGGGGACAGAACAGGTGGATCTACTGAAATAAACTGCCGAGGGGAGCAGCAGGCTAGTCAGGAGAGGTTTGCTGTGCCATGTGGGTAGCTTCCTGGCCAGGGATCAAACTCGTGCTGCAGTGGCTACGGACAGCTTCATAGGTTGCGTCTTAACCCCTTGTGCCACCAGGGAGGCCCCATTTTTATGTTTTTTTAAGAAAAATTTATTTTTTTAAAAAATCATATCAGGAAAATTGAGGCAGATTTTGCTCATTTTCTTTTGGGTATTTTCTTACTGATTTGCAGGTGTGTTTTTTTGGTATCCTGGTGCTAATTGTCTGTCACATGCATGTGCTATAAATAGCTTCTCCCAGTTTATAGGGCGTCTTCATTCTCTAAAGTATCTTGTGGACAAAATTTTAATATTATGTGGCCAAACTTATCTTTTTCTATGTGTCACATTTTTCTGTTATCTTCATGAATTCTTTCCTACTTCATGCTCAAAAAGATATTCACTTATATTTTCTTTTCAAGTTGTTTTTTTTTTTTTTAAATACTTAAGTACTTCATCTGGAATTGATTCTCCTGCATGGTATGAGTAAGAATCCAGTTTTATTTTTTCCCATAGACAAATAGTTTTTCCAACTTTTCCTTTTCCACTCTATCATGCTATCTCTGTCAAAAATCAAAGTTTCACAGATGCATAAATCTCTTTCTGTGCTAGTTTGTTTGTCTCTGTACCATCGTCCCCTGTCTTAACTAGAGCTTTATAATAAGCCTTTTGGATGAGCAAGGTGAGTGCCCCTTCCTTATTCTCCTTCAGAAATATCTGGGCCTTTGTTGACTCATTTGTTGTTTTGTTTAAATTTGGGGATCACAGCAATTCCACTCCTAGGTATTTACCCAAAGGACACAGAAACATTAATTCAAAAGGGCACCTGCACCCCTATGTTTATAGCAGCACTGTTTACAATAGCTAAGCTTTGGAAACAACCCAAATGCCCAAAAATAGATGACTGGATCAAGAAGATGTGGTCCATATACACCATGGAATATTACTCAGCAATCAAAAAAGATAAACTCATGCAATGTGCAGCAACATGGATGGAGCTGGAAGGAATGTGCTCAGCGAAATAAGCCAGAAAGAAAAAGAAAAATACCAGATGGTCTCACTCATAGCAGGAATTTAGAAAACCTAAATAAGGGACCAGGAAAAAACCTAATACTAATAAAGTAAAAATCAAAATCAACAAGCAACTGTAAACCAGAGATACACTATGGGGAGGGGGGAGAGGAAGGTAGGATCAAAACAAGGGGGATGGGAATTGTATGGGGACTATAACCAAGATAAAAATGCATACATTCTGCAAAAATGAAAAATGTTGTAAAAAAATGTATAAAATAAAAAAATAAAAAAAGATTAAAAAAATAAATTTGGGGATCAACTTTGCAAATCCCACAGAAAAGTGAAGGTGTAATTTATGCACAGCAAGGTTACTGTCTTTGTTATACAACAAACCCACCCAGTCATGTGCTACCACAAACAGGACAGACGCCAGCCCGTCACACCGCTGTCCCCTCATCCTCCTTGTCCCGCGGCTGCCACTGCTCTGCTTTGTTATTGTTGTTCTGGGGTGACATCACACCACGGTGCAGGTCTCAGCTGTACGGCTTCACACTTCAACTCTGTATGCCACACCATCCCCAGCACTGTCTATTTTTGCTGAGATTTTTTTTTCCTTATAATCTTTTGAACGTTTTACTAATATGTTGGAATGTTTTCACTGGAATCACCTTTAATCTATAGATCCATTTAAGAAGGGACCCACGTCTTAGGTCGTCTTGTCTGTAAGCAGCGTGTATTTGTCGGTTTCGACTTGGCTTGACAATAATGGAAAGGTCTTAATTTTTAGAAAAATTCTAAACATTTTAAGTATTTCTTTAAAGCTCCCTGTAAGGGAAGAATTTCATAGGATAATCGTTCACCTAAATAAACACATGAGTACGCGCAAATGTATGGCAGACATGTGGTAGCATTCTGTTTTTGAAAAATCACGCCTGGGTTCCAAACCAACCTCACTGCTGGACCGTCGTTACCACAGGACCGTGGGCAAGCTCCTTGGCTTCCCTGAGCCTGGCTCCTGGTGCCTGGTGACTGGACGCCCTTCCTGGCGGGGCTGTGGTGGAGATGAAGTGCGGTCATGCTTGGAGTGTCAACAGAGCAGCCTTGAGGGGGGAGACTCCGCTTTCCCTCACCTACAGGGAAATGGGACCGAACCGAGTTAGTGTTTGGCTCCCCAGTGGCTTTAACAAAGCGCACACATGTAAGATGGCCTCGAATCCTTTCTCTGACAAATATGGAAAAGGCTCGAGTTACAAGGCAGCCTGCTGCATGAGCTTCTGATGGGGAGCTGGAATCACTGGAGAGCTCGCTGACAGCCTATCCATTCTGCTGATTCATCCATTACTGGGGGGTGGGGGGGGGGTGAAGGGGCTTTGAGCCAGAGCTTGGCTTCCAGATTAAAGACCAAGAGCTGCAAAGCTGCAGGGACTTGAAGGAATGCTGGTAAATTATTGCCATGTGAAGGCCAGTAGTGAAAAGTGGATTGTTATTTGTTTTCCCTTTTAAGTCATCCTAATTCCAAATGTGCTCTGATAAATCCCACCACGAGTGGTTGGGGAGTTGTTTGTAACATTTGTGGAGGGGACTGAGAACTCAATTATTGGAAACAAGCAGATATTGTTAAATAGATCATCTTGGCTCCTTTATGATCTTGTCTCCTCTTACCTTTGCATTCCAGGAGAAAGTTGACTCACACCTACTCTTTGACTTGGTGGTCCAAATTAATCTGTGAGAGGGATTGTTACAGATGTCATCCCTGTTAGGCATGCTTGCAACATAAACCTGCTGGATTAAGGAATGAAATGTAAAGAGGAAAATCTAGGAAGTGCTCATTTGCCAACAGTGGGGACTAAATGGGATCTCTGGGTTCTCATCCATTGTGTGGATCCATTCACCCGTCCCAGGAGGGCGTCACCCCGTGGGGAAATCCACTCTGTGTGAGGCTTGCATGTGACAGTCACGATGCGTTTAAGAGGTTGGAGATGGGGTCTTGTTTTATCAAGTACCTGGCATGTGTCCCAGGGACGACCCTCAGTGAGCATAGCTGGATGTTTGTTGGATAATTGACATATAAAAGGCTTTACCCGGTAAACCCAGTAAGTTGTTGGGTGAAGTTAGGTAACAGCAGAGATGTCAGAAAGTGGTGCATGGAAAGGAAGGGAAAGTAACTATCCTAGGAGTAAGATTTTCAGGAAAGGACCCGGTTTCCATGGTTCTCTGGCCAGTGGCTCTGTCTCCAGAACCAGGGCACTCCCTCTGCATCTCCCAAGGGGGGCCAGAGCTCACCAGGGGAGCTCCCATTATAGATACTCCCGCTGCTTCTTTAGGAGACTTTGCATAATCTGAAAGATCTGTCACCCTGTGTGTGTTTCTTTTCCCCCTTCTTTAGAGTGAATGTTTTTCATAGTAAGAATCTGTTTCTTAGGGACCCACACATCTTTGTTGTGTTGTGTTGCTGTCTCGGTGGCTAGCCACTGAGGGCCTGCCTTTCTGTAACAGCCATTGTGTGGAGGCATCGTGGCCAGGTTTGGTCCACTTGGAGCGCAAAGCATGACATTCCGAGGGTCTGCTGTGTGGAGCGTCTGTTTCTCTGCAGTCGTCTGGAATGTAAGGTCCTTGATGTACAGGAACCCCCCAATCCAGCTCAGACATGCTTCCCAACTGTGCGCCTCCTGCTTGCTGTGTTCTGCCCTGCACTCTTTTACATCCTATTTATTAAGGGTCTTTTCATTCACATCAGATTTATTAAGAACTGCGTTGTGCCAAGAACTTTTCTAAGAGTGGGTGTCTGGATTTGTAGGGGGTGTCATGGTGCTTTTGCAACTACCCAGCAACTAAGTCTGCTCCAAATAGCCCCTACCGGCGTGACCAGGCTCTTAGGTCATACTGCCAGCGTGGGCAGTAGCTGTTGGCAGAGCTCGTGGGCTAGGAGAGAATATGCTCAAACTACATAAGCCAGAAGCAGCAAATGATCACCCACCCACCAACAGGCCTTCTGTGGGTCCTCACTTCCAGCTGCCATCGTGTTCTAGCCCACCCCCTCCTTGGAGGAGGCATCGGGGATTACTGACCTGCCTTCACCAAGTGTTAAACCAAGGAGGGAGGAAGCTCCAGCTTTAGTACCCTGCTAGCAAGGGGTACCACAAGCCAGGGCAACCAGGGTGTCTGAGGTGCAGAGTCTGTTTGGAGCTTGTAGTCCATCATGAGGTGCAGGGCAGCAAGGAGGGCCCTGGTCTCAGGGTCATAGAAACGTATGCTTTTGCACCCAGTGCTGCCGCTTGCCTGAGCAGCACTGACCTTCACCCTCCCTCCCACGAGTAACAGCGGCTCCTCCCTTAATGTATTTCTCGAAGCTTGGCCATTGTGTGTGAAGCCTGGGCACAGACAGGCTGTAGGTCCTCAATCACGCAGCACCCTTGGCACAGAGGGGCTGTGGCCTCCGGAGGTTGACGTAGACATCAGCACTGTCACTAGGCTTTTATTATCTTTATTTTTAACAAAATGAGTGAGGATTTACAGTTTTTCCTCAGTGGTTTTGTTTTATTTTCTTACTCTGAGAGTAATTCTCAAGCAGTAATGTTACCTGCAAATCTCTGAACATTAATATTCCTCTTACACCACCACGGCCCCTGCAGCAGTGACTCTCTCCTCCAGATACGGAAACTCAGGCTTGCAGAGTCTTCTGGGACCTTCCTGAGGCCATTTGGCTTCCAGGGGGAGAGCCAGGTCAGAACCCAGGACTCCTCTGTCACCCCAGTCCCCTCTCAAAGTGACATCTCCAGGGTTGGGGTTGGGCCACAGCCCCTTTTAAGGTTTTTTCCCCTTTTCCTTGTAGCTGTCAACACGAGCAAATACGCAGAAAGCTATCGGATCCAGACCTATGCTGATTATGTGGGGAAAAAGCAGGAGGAGAAACAGGTCAAAAGGAAGTGGACAGAAGATGGCTGGAGGGAGGTGGAGCGGAAGCGCCTGAACACCCAGTGCATACCCTACGCCCTGCGGAACCACTGCTACCGCGCCGCCAGGTAGGTTTGCAGCAGCAGCTGCTCTTGTCGCATTTTACCTGATTGTAAGGAAGAAATCTGCTTTTTGAGGCAACTTTCTGACTTTTATCTACTACCAGAGGTCACGAATGCCTCCCTTCCCTCTGCACTGTGCTTGCCATAGCTGTTTCAGTTGACTCTCACAAAGTCTGCAGGCCAGGTGGTGTGTATCTTAGTCACAATGCTTTTAGGGGTGCAGAACCTGAGGCTCCAGGACTTGCCCACCAGCCCACAAGAGAGCTGGGATCAGGCTGGACTCTGACACCTGATCCCTTCCTCCTGTCTGTCTGCTCTGTTGCCTCTGGCCGAGCGTCTGACTCTGTCTGGTCCCACGCAGGTCTGGGGCCGCAGACCTGCTGCAGAAAGAGGCTTGGACACACTTTTGCTTTAATTGCGCAGGCTCCTTCCTTCCAAAGATAGATACTAGTAACGTGTTGCTGTTTTGTGAAACTGCACAACATAGGTATAGAATATAGGGGGCAAGTTCGTTATAGAAAATTGCAAACTTTAGAAAAGTGTGAATGAACAGAAGCCATCACTGTCAATATTTCAAATTGCTTCTCTGTGCTTTTTAAATTTTTTTTAAAAGAGATTTTAAAAATTGAGGTATAAATAACAATAAAATGTATAGGTATAGAATATTGAATTGAAAGATATATACACACATACACACACACAAACCCATGATCCAAAGCAAGCTATAGAACATTTCTGTCCTCCCCAGAAGATAGAATTGTGTACTTCATAAGCAACCCCAAGCCCCTTCTGCCCCAAGCAGTTTCTATCGCTATGAATTATTATTCTTGGAATTTATAAAAAGTGGATTCCTGTGGGATTCTGTTTGGCTTTATTCACTTAACGTGTTTTTGAAATTTATCCTTGATATGGTATATATCCATAGTTCATTTCTTTCTACCGTTCAGTAGTATTCCGTTGCATGAATATATAATATTTACCTGTTCTCCTATTGGTGGACATTTGGGTAGTTTCCAGTTGGGGAAGATTATAAATAAATGCTGTGAACATTTCTGTAAACAAGTTTTTGTGGGCACATGTTTTCATTTCTCTTGAGTAAATACTTGAGACTAAAATTGCTGGCTCTTAGGCTAGGTGTATGTTAAACTTCATAGGAACAATCTAAAAGTTCTCGATACTGGACGTACAGTGCTATGCTCCACCAGGACTGTATGAAAGTTTTAGTTGCTCCATGTTGTTGCCAACCTTTAGTGCGATGGGTCTTTTTAGTTTGGCCATTCTAGAGGGTGTAAGATGGTGTTCCATCGGGCTCTAGTTAGTGTTTCTCTGGTGACCAAGGCTGTTGAACACCTCTTTGTGTGCCTGTTGGCCATTTAGATAGTTCAGGTGGGTGTTAAAATTTTTTGCCCATTTCTCATTGGGTTGTTTGTGCTATTCTTGTTAATTTGTAGGAGTTGTTTTATGTACTCATCCTTTGTCAGCTATTTGTGCTGTAAATAGTTTTTTGAGTCTGGGGCTGCCCGTCCGTTTTATTAGTGATGGCTTTTGGTGAGTAGTTGTTTTTAATTTTGATAAAGTCCTGTTTATCAATTTTTTCTTCCAGGATTAGTATTTTTCCCCCGTCCAAAAGATCTTTTGCTTACCCTCGAGTTGCTATGATTTTCTTGTTTTCTTTTGGAAATTTTAAAGTGTTAGCTTTTACATTTATCATGATCCATTTCAGGTTAAGTGTGGAATGAGGTAGGATCAGCATTTATCCCATATGGATAGTCAGTGTCCCACCAACACGTGCTCAAAAGACATTGAATTGACTTGGCACTTTTGTCGTAAATGTACTGTGAACATCTAGGTCTGTTTCTGAATCTTCTGCTCCATTCACTTTCTTCTGCCAGTGCCACCCTTTCTTTTTCCTGTGACTTCACAGTAAGTAAGGTAGTGTGATCCTCCAACACTGCTTTTCTTTTTCAGGTTGGTTTGGCTATTCTAGAACCCCTTATACTCCACAGACATTGTAGAATCATCTGTTTCTTCATGAGACCGGTTCTGTAATTTTTACTGTAGAGGTCTTATATGTTTTATGTTAATTTTATTTCTAAATATTTTACTTTACTGATACTATTGTAAATGGAATTGTTTCTTAAAACAATTATACATTTTCAAATTATTTGCCACTTCTATATAGATACGTGATTAACTCTTTTATATTCACCTTCTACCCTGCAATCATTTAAAAGTCACATTATTATTATTTAATATCCCACGGGGATTTTTATGTACACAATCCATTTGGCTTGCTGTTGATAGTGGTTTTTACCTCTTTTCCAACCTTTATGTCTCTTTTTTTCCTCCAATGCCTTTTTGCAGTCACTGATTAGCATCGTTAGTAAATTGTCTTTTGTTTAATTGCATTTTTTTTATTGAGGGCAAAATGGTTTATAACACTGTGCATGCTCTGGGGGTGTAGGGTCACACCTCTTCCCTGATGATAAGTGATGATGAACATTTTTTCATATTTTTGTTGACCACCTGAATGTCTTCCTTAGAGAAGAGGCTGCTTATATCTTCTGTTGATTTTTTTTTATTGGGTTATTTGAGTTCTGTGAGTTCTTTGTAGATTCTGAGTATTAGCCCCTTGTTGGATGTAAGATGTTCATATATTTTCTCATTAAATGGGATATCTTTTTACTTTAATGTCTTTTTACATTATGGATTTGATTTGCTAATGTAGGTATTGCTAATATTTGCTCATATATGTCTTTTTCATATGGAATATTTGACAGTAATTTTATATCTTTGTCAAATTTTGGTATCAGTATTATGCTGACCTCATAAAATTAGTTAGAAAGTTACTCTTCTGTTGTTTTTTAAAACTGTGTTTAGGATTTTTCTCAAAATTTTGGTAGTTTACCAGTGAATACCTCTGGTTATATAGTTTTTATGTAAAGTGTTTTCTGATTATGTCTCAGTTTCTTTAATAGATATGGGGCTATTTAGGTAGCCAGTCTCTTCTTGTATCACTTATAGTAATTTGTGTTTTTCAAGGAATATTCCATTTTATTTAAGTTGTCAAACTCATAGGCATGAAATTATTAGGTCAAAGTATTTCCTTATTGTAATTTTACTGTAAGCTCTATAATTATGTCCTTTTAGACATTTGAGTTCTTGGTATTGAATTTTCTGGCTGCTTCTCTGAACTATGCCTGAAGTAGTGTTTCAGTTATTTGCTCCAACACTGGGCACTGAGGGGAATATGGCAGCAAGAAGCCCCTCCACCTCTAAGACTGTGCTGCCAGATGGTCGTGGTGCTGGACTGTCAGAGAAAATGCTCTGAGGCTCTGGGAGTGGGCCTGTGTGAGGGGCGCTGCCAAACACACCCACCAGGTTTGTAGCAGGAGGACACTCTGTATCTTCAGAGATCTGAAGGCACTGAATGACAGTACAAGAGGAGGTGCCGCTCCGCTGTGGGCTTCCCTACCAATGGAGCCGATGTCAGGATTGGCCAGGGTTTGGGAAAAAACTGTATTTGTGTTTGTAGACACACACACGCACATGCACATGCACATGCAGTCTCTCACAGAAACAGGAGCCTCCTAAGAAGGTGATAAGCAAACAGACTAAAGACACAGTTGAACTCTATTACTGTTTCTACTCTTAATGAACTGGAAGAGGAATTTGAGGGAAGTTGCTGATTCCTAAGCACAGATGCCAACATGATTGAAAAACAGCTAGAGCGCGAAGGCCTGAGCAAGTGGTGGCTGTGAAGAGCTGGCCAAACGGGAGTCAAGAAAGTAAAAGTGGAGGGGACTGTGACTGATAACCAGCTCAATGGTCAAGACCTTTCTCTGTGCCCAGACAGCAGGTGAGCATTTAGGTCAGGAAGAAAAGGAACTCCTGGACCACATGGATTGGTTTTCATCTTTAGCCTTAGCAGAAGACTTTACGTTGTCCCCCACTGATTTTCAGTTTTGAGTCCCTCTGACCTGTTTTCTAGAGATAGATTTTTCCAAGTCTTTCTGTTGATAGACCTTCAGTACCAAAAAAAAAAGTTCTTTTGTCCATTTGATATAAACTTCTTCAGCTATGTAGAAACTATGAATATATCAGTGCTTGGATGTCTAGTTCCTCACATAGTGGTTCTTGTTCCTTTGTCAACATTAATGAAAGATTTTTAAAAAACTGATATTAGCAATTTGTGTCTCATCTTTTTTATTTTCTTGCTAGGTGTTTTATCAGTTAATTTTTTTCAAGGGAAGAATTATTACTGGTTTTTCTGTCTTATTTTTTCATTGTATGCATATTTTTTATATTTTCTGCTTATTTTTGATTTATTTTTCTTTGTTTGGCTTCTTAAGGTGGCGGCATAACTCATTGATTTTATTAGTTTTTCTCCTCATGAAAACATTTAGAGCCATAAATTTCCCTTTAACTCTGCTTAGCTCCCTCCCACATATTTTGATATATTGTCTTTTAATTATTGTCTATTACAAAATATTTTCTAATGTCTCTTCTTTCTTCTTTAATCCATCAGTCATTTAGAACTTCTTTGATAATTACTGAGATTTATTTTATGACTTGGTATGTGGTGTGTCATGGTGAATGGAAATGTGCCATGAGTGTAATATTCCATGAATATCACTTTAGGTTGCGTTGGGTCATGCTGTTGCTCAAAACTTCTGCATCCTTAATGATCTTTTTTTAGTCTTCTTGTTCAACTACTGAAAGGGCTGTAGATTTGTTATGTCTCCATTTAATTATATGAATTTTTACTTAATGTAATTTGAAGCTTTTTTGGAAAGGAATATGCTCATTTAAGATTATAGGGCTTCTTAATTAATGATCCCTTTCATCATTATGAAATATGCCTCTTTATTTCTAGGAATAATCTTTTCTTGATGTTTATTTTGTCCAGCATTAATACAAGCCATGTTTGTTTCTCATGCTTGATGTTGTGTTTTTTTTTTCCCCCTCCAGCCTCTTTGTTGCCAATTTTATAACTGGTATGTTTCTTTTAAACAATAGGCTTCTTTATAAGTTCTGACTTCCCTGCTCTTTATATTTCATCTAATTAACGATACAAGTAGGTCTGTTTCCATGTTGGTATTTGTTTCCTATTTGCCCTGTTCTGTCTTCCTCTCTTCCTCTCCTCTGTCACCTTTCCTATGAATGGTGTATTGTTTACTATTTACTGAAACCTTAGCATCCCGTCTCATCTATTCTGTTGACCTTTTGCTTCTATCTCTGTGTTATTTTTCAGTCTTTGCTCCGGCGTCATGGTTGGCAAGCTGTAGTCCACAGGCCAAGTCCTGCCCAAGTGTTTCTCTAAAGTGCCACTGGAACAGTGCCATGTCCATGAATATACACACTGCCTAGGGCTGCTCTGCACTGCAGTGGGAGGCTGGGGTAGTTGTGAGAGAGACCTGGTGCCCCCCAAACTTCAAACATTTACTGTCCCTTTGCAGAAAAGTTTGTTATTGAGCTACTCTGTCCTGTGCTATAGTCATCATTTACATGTGGCTTTTGAGCACTTGAAATGTGGTTAGTTCAAACTGAGATGTGTTATAAATGTAAAAGACACCCCCAGATTTTAAAGAATTGACTACATGTTGAGATGATAATATCTTTGATATGCAGGGCTATGTAAAAATATTATTAAAATTAATTTCACTAGATTATTTTTATTTTTTAAAAAATGGCAGCATCTAGAAAATTTTAAGTTACTTCCCTGGTTCACATTGAATTTCTCCTGGCCAAGCACTGCTCTAGAAACTATAAGGTGCCTCTTTGATGTACCACAATTGATCTTCAAGTGAAAAGCAAACTGCTTCATGAACAATGGATACTTATAATTCCATTTAACTCCCTCCCAACATTTGTGATTTTTTTTCTCTCATATTTAACTTCTACATTTATTTCTGTAAATTGGACATTGTTGCTCTTGTTCCTTTTCTTTCTCTCTTTTTCTTTAAACAGTTCATACTCTTAAAGAAAATAAGCAACTCACATACAGGAAGAATGGCTTAAATGTAAATGTAACAGTTCAGGAAACCATAATTAGAGAGGGACATTTAAGATTGTGGGGGGACCCTGCTCTTTGGTATTGGTATTTGGACCCTGCTATTTGGTATTTTTCTGCTCTTTGATATTGTAAGAGCCTGCTTTTCTTTTCTGTAATAGATCCAGGGTTCAGAATAGTCAAAGACTTTGTAGTTGATTACTGCACAAAAGATAAGGCTTAAGTTTTGGGAAACTAGACTGGACATAAATCTGTTTCAGAAGGGATTGGTTTGGTGGCATGAAATTTGCATAAATACAGGTTGGCTTGGTGCTTGGAGAATCATCCTCTCCAAAGCTAAAGCATTTAAGATCTCACTGACATATGTATTTTTTATTAAAAAAAATAAAAAAATAAACCACCATCCTTTAGATCCCCCCCTCGACCCATATTTAAGAAGAAATGATGTCTCCCATGACACTGTGTAAACCACTGAAGGGCTGTATGCACGTAACTTACAAAAATTCACATAGCACAGAATAAAAAATGAAGGACAACCCACGCGTCTCACTCCTGGTTCTTCTTCCCAGAGTCAGCTGCTGTCACCTTTACCTTTTTGTGGTCTGTTCTTTTACCTAGAAATAATAACCTCTGTTTCTTGTCTTACCACATTTGAACAATGGATATCTTGGTCATGTCGGTGGAAGATTGAAAGTTCAGTGAACACATTGTCTTGCCTCTTTCCTGTCCCCCTTCTCACTCTGCTCAGTGATGCCATTTATAGTATTTACTACTTTTCGGTGCCGCAGCTTAACTTTTGGGACTTCTTGACAAGTTGATTCCAGCTGAGAATAGCCAGTGTGCAGTACGTGTGACATTATGACACATGCATGACATCATGACACACATATGACATCAGGACTGCGTCCACACAGTTCTCTGAAGAAAAGGGATGCCTCATGGGGCCTGTAGAGGTGCCTTCCTGGGTCATTAAAATTTTGCTTCCCAAAGGATAATCCTCCTAATATTTCAGCCTCTTGTATAAATTTTTTTTGAGGGGAAGCAGTTTTCTTTCCCTTTGAGTGGTCTATTTTACTTTTTGGCAGCTGTAATGTTTAGTTAGTAAGCATTATAAAAATGTCCTTACTTTTTGATAGTGATGCTGGCTATAGAGTTCTAAATCCATTTTTTTTTTCTTTTCAGAACTTTAAACACATTGCTTGCACCTTACCCCAAATACATCGCACTGTCGTGATGAATTTCCTTTCTAGTTTCCATCAGGCAGGAGGCATGTTTCCTGTGTCTTTCATGTCTCTGCTACCTAAGCTATGGTGTCTGTCCCACATTATGGACCATGATGTCTGATGAATGAATGAATGTTTAAGTGCCTGCTCTGGGCTCGGTCTTTCTTGTTTTATCACATGTGATGCTTGCAGCATCCCTGGGAAGGAGGGCGATTATCCCCATTTCACAGAGACTCAGGAAGCTTAGGCAATTCTTGATAAAGAATTAGCTTTAAAGCTAGGATTCTCTGTAGTGCCCTCTTGTTTCTGTTCTCCATCCTTTCCCCCCATGTATTTTCCCAGGTCTGGTAGATAGTCCTGTCCTTACCAGAAGGAAACACCCAAGCAGATTGCATCTAGGGGACTGTTGTCTTGCTGTAATCACTACAACCCTAAGAAAATATTAAAGAACTTGTTTTTTTCACTTAAACGTAATATCCCAGGAAACAGAAGAGAGGTCCTTTTGAATTTCTGCTTAAAAGAATGCCCAAACTTTTCATGACAGAAAAGTCAAACTTGCAAAAGCAGGGAAACTGGGCCTCCCCAGTGGTGCAGGCAGTTAAGCCCTGCGCTGCACCGTGAAGCTGTCCACAGCCTCTGCAGTGCTGGTTTGATCCTGGCCAGCTGGCGAGGGTCCCACATGGCGCAGCAGACCTCTCCTGTTGCTCCCCTCAGCAGTGTATTTCATCAGTCTGCCTGTTCTGTTCCCCACTTTGTCTCTGGTGAATTCTCTCACCCTCCCACGCGTCTGATCTGTACCCTGGTTCTTGTATAAGTAAATAAATAAATCTTTAAAAAAAAAAAAAGTAGGAAAACTATAGCAAACTCCATCACTAGCCATGCAGTGCCAGCAGCGTGTGGCCAGTCCTGTTTTATTTACTACGTCTTTCCCTCCCCCTTCAGATAATTTTGAGGCAAATCATGGATAGCATATCATTTCAGCCATAGGCCTACATATGTATGTATCTGGAAGATAAGCAAAATATTGCTGCCACACACAAAGAATAATAACACCTTAATATCAGATACCCAGTGTTCAAATTTCCTGCTCACCAATTTTTTAATTAATTGTTTTGTTTTCAGTCTAGTTGCCAAACAAGTCCACATATTACATTGGGCTGATGTGTTCCATATGACTCTTGGTCCAAGAATTCCTTTTCTGTGTGGATTCTCCCCACCCCCGCACCTTTGCAGTATGTTTAAGAAATCAGGTTGTTTGTTCTGTAGGATATCTCATATTCTGGAATGTTCTTTTAAGGTTATTTAACATGTTCCCCAATGACTGTGTTTGTAATTGGCTGGTAGTTAAACCTGTAAACTCGCTCAGATTCAGGATTGATTTTGTGTCAGATATATTTCACAGGTGGTTTTTGTATTTCCCATTTCATCACCATGGGTGGCACAAAATATCTTCTTGTCTCTTTTAGTGATAAGATTGTCAAGTGGGGCGCAGATGCTGCCAGCCTGGCCCATCCAACGTGAAGTTCATATCAGCTTTTCACCTCATGTTTCTAGTAGCCACTAACAATCCATGACTAGATTCATTGTTCCTTAAGGGTAGCAAAATGGTAATAAAATGGCTTGGTACTCCATTTTCATTATCTCAAATGCTTTTATTTCAAATAAAAAATTTCTTATCAGCATCTACTTGGCTATATAGTTCATATAGAAAAAGCAGAGTAAATTCTTTGGCTCCCCCCACCCCCCAATATACCTTTTTATTTAAACCTATTTTCAAAATAATGAGTTGGATTCTTAGCACCTTCCAGATATTTATTTTAGCATATTACAGTGACTTTTTGGGGCTCAAGGTATCCTATTTCTAACTAGTGGGAACTATTTTGAGTTGTCTGGAGTCTTCTGCTCCATCCCAGGTCCTTGATAGCTTCTTTGACTTTTCAGAATGCTCCAGGCTCCTCTGGTACATTTCACGCCCTCTGCTTGAAACCAGCCATTTCTCCAGGGAGCTGCGTTCCTTTTGATGGGAAAAGGCATTTAGAGACCATAATCTGGGCTCCAGGGGTATTTATTGATACTGAATTAATCATAGTATATCCCACCAGAAGTAAACAATCACGTGTATTTAAAAATCACGTGAAATAATTCTTCTTTGTCAGTTATGTTACCAACTCAATAAATATCTAGGTTTGTTATAGTTTTACTTTTAGGTTTTGTATTTTTTTTTATAATTATGTAAAACATTTATGTGGTTCCATAGTCAAATCCACCAGTCAAGTTACATTTAGGAAGGTCTGGCTTCTTTGTCTGCTTTGGCAACTCATTTCTTCCCTCCTTCATCGTGACCAGTTTTATTAGTTTTTAATATAGTTTTTCATTTTTACAAATATATAAACAACCCCATAGATAAGCCCAAACCTTTCCTTAGATTGATGGTGATGGACCATAGCACCTTCCTCCACCTGGCTTTTTGCATTTAGCTCTATATCTTAGAGTCAGCCCTGTCCAGCTTCTGTTAAAATGTGATTTTTTACACGGCAAATGGTTTTAGTGTTCTTCAGCCTCCTTAATAAAACATACTAACCACCAAAGTCGGGTGTTTAATCCTAGTTTAAATTATCAACCTTGTAGCAAAGTTCATGAATATTGTATAAGTCAGACTCCTGTGAAAAATTAATTCATGGCCAGTGCTCCAGTTCAGATGAATCATTCTTTACTGTCCTCACCTTCTTCTCTCTCTATCCTGTCAGTAGAGGGGTGTATCTCTCACCCACACAGCATGCTACTTGAACATCCACAGACTGATACAAAAAACAAGAGTGAACGCTCATGTTTATTAAGCAGATTCTTCATTCCAGGCACGGTGCTAGGTGCTTCACATCATTTGAAAACAATCTGTGTAACAACTCAGTGAAACCTTGATGATATTCCTCTTTTATATATGAGAAACTTGAGTTGCAGAGAAGCTAAATTATTTAGCTAAAGTTACACAGGATGCTGTCTCGCAGGCATTTTGGATCCACAGTGCAGTGTGTTAAGTCGCCTCTTTGGAGCATGGTCCATATACGCCTGTGTGTGTACGTGTGGGCTTGGGAGAAGTGTGATCTCATTTTCATAAATCATGTGCTCCTTAAAAACAAACAAACAATCCTGTGTTAAAGAAGCCCTGAGTTCAAAACCTCTGCATTTCAACTTTCCTTCTTTGGGGAGAAGACTTAGGTAGACTTGTCCGTCGCCACAAGGTCATCCATATAAAGCATTTAGCTGTTGTGTTTGTTTTAATTTTAAAAGAGACAAAAATGTACCTGAAACATACAAGCCAGTGTCAGAGATACTAAAATGTCATTCTCTGGTGTGCTCGGCACAGGTCACCCGTCAGGATCCAGCGTGGTCTGGCCCTTCAGGGGAGAACCTGAGTGCAGAAAGCAGCTGGCACTGAGGGGAAGGGTGGCGTCGGGTCTGCCTAGCCTGGTGCCGCAGCTGGAAGGAAAGGGCAGTAGAAACCAGGGCAAATTTGTAGGAAGCCATTGTGAGAAGAGTATGGGTTCTTATCCTTGCCAAAGACTGAGGCAGAAGCCTGATGGAGCGTTGGTGGCATTATTGGTCTCATTCCCTGATGAGAAAACTGGACCTCGGGCCGGCAAGCTGCTGTGTGCAGTGGGCTCTCTGTGACTCGCTGCCTCCCCTCCTTGCTGATTTGGCACATCTGATCCTCTTTTTAAGGCTTTGCTGGTTTCAGACTGCGAAGATGATAGAGACCTTTAGCATGTATCCTACATGATTTTTTTTTCAATTGCAAGGAAAAACTACCATAGACCTCCACTCAGTTCGCCCTCTTTTTTTTTTTTTTTTTAACCAACCCCTTTTATTCTGCAGTTCTCACCTTGACATTTGAATGGTTGAAAGAAAGGATCAGCTTGCTCTGAGAGACTATTTTAAGAAATTCAAATAAACATCTTGGTATAACACTAGAGTCTAGTTAATGTAAAATGCAGAATTTTAAAGTATGTAGTTACTAATAAAATACATTAACCAAATTAGCTTTTCCATGGAATGCCCCTAAGATATTGAGTTGTGGTAACTACTCTTCACAACATCCCTTTGTGCAGTCTGCCTGGACAGGTGCCAGGAAAAGTTTGTCTCCTTACTGTGACATCTCCCAAACTAGGGGATGAGGACACCTTTGTTTTCTTTAGAGGAGATATTTCATCAGGATTCCTGAGAATAACATAAAAAAATCTGGGCAACTTGGAGAAACCAAATTGGGTGTCTATACCCAGGGAAATATTGTTCATCTTTAGAAAGGAAGCAAGCAGTCTGACACCTGCTACAGCCTAGATGGCCCACGAGGACATCATGTTAAGTGAAACAAGCCTGTCACAAAAAAGACACATATGACACATAGATTCATAGAGAGAGAGTAGATGGTGGCTGCCCTGGGTGGGGGTGGGAGTTCCTTAATAGGTTTAGAGTTTGGGTTTTGCAAGATTCGAAGAGGTGTGGAGATTACCTCACACAGTATGAATGTACCTCACGCTACTGAACACTTAAAAACAGTCAAGGTGTGATAGTTTCTCTTTTACGTTTATTTTCCCACAAGTTAAAAAAAA